AGATGCAGACATAGAAAGTACTCCTTATTGTAGACAGTAATGTAAAGGTGCTGTGTGGACTTAGATGTTTTCAACAAATAATAAATAGGTCAGTTATTTCACTTAAAACACCTATTCTGGAGGTTCACCTATGCCAACTCCTCACACAGCTGGCAGGAATACTACTCATGGCTCTTAATGTCTGACCTTTCAGCCTAGGGTTTCCAGTTCCCTGGTTCCATTTTCAAAAAGAAAAATGCTACAATGGTAAAGTACCTTTAAAAATACTCTAGTAAGTGTGAGGCCCTAAATTCAAACCCTAGTTAACACCAAAAAAGAAAAACAAAACAAACAAAAAAACTAGTAAACTGTCCATGAGATCCACAATTGTTTCAATCAATGAAATGAATACAGCTAATAAATTAAAGATTGTATACTATATTCTTGGCAGTATATTAACTGGGACTCTATTGAGAGGTATTTCTCCATATCTGGAATACCATGGAAACTGAACAAAATCCAGAATGCTTAGGGATCAAAGAATCAGAACATTATGCTATGTAGAATTTGCATTACTTGGATAGAAGAGTTTTCATTACCACTGTTTCTTTAAAAGTGAATACAGGCTGGATATGTGGCTCAGTGGTAGAGTGCTTGCTTAGCATGTATAAGACTCTGAGTTCAATCCCCAGCACTATGAAAACAAACAAACAACAACAACAAAAAAAGGCAGAATATTCACCAGAAGTGTGATTTTTACTGTCAGCTAGCTTCATCTGGCAATTTAACCTTTATTTCCCAGATCATTTTTGAAAACCCAGATACAAATTACAAATAACTACATGGATGGATGTCCTATGAAATAAAATCCTCCACTTTAGGATTTTAGAAAATAAATCAAAACCACTTCAATTAAAGATGAACTAAACCCTGCACACATAACAAGTTTTTACTTAGATTGCAGAATTGTGGTGACAGGCTTTCATAGTCTTGACTCTTTTGAAGACACCTCAACTCTATCCTTACCCTTGTCCCCTATTCCACATACTTGAAGGCTATCAGACCAGGCTTGAAGCTGATGACTTGATCCCAATGTGACCTAACTTGCCAGCAGTATTTCCAATCACAAGCCACTTGCCTTCATATATCCTGAATTTTAGTCACAGAGAAGCAGGCCAGATTCCCTTGTCTTATGCACTCCGTGCTCTCTGCTGCCCTGAATGTGCAGTCCTCTGGCCTTGCATTTGCCTTCTTTAAAATGTCCTTCCTGATTTCTCCACTAGCAGTTCTTCTCTCATGTTCACACACTTAATGGGACTTTCTTTGCTTCGTTCTTACAACATTCATCTTGCACTATCTGGTATTTCTGTTTACCTGTCTTAACCTCCCCGTAATTCCAGAAGACAGGGATGTATCTGGATATTCCTTTCTCTGCCTAGCACATGCTTCAATCAAGGAAGTTCTTCAATAGATGTTTGCTGCACAAATAAATGAAACATACTTCACCTTATTCTGCGTATCAGGACATGCTGTTTGGTGAGCTGCTCAACATGTACCTGAAAGAACTCTGCTAATTATCAAAAGGCATCTGATCCAAAGAGAGGGGATGCATCTATAAACACTCTTTCTCTTCTCCAGCCATCTCCCCGAAAGTGACTTTTTGGCTTTTATCCCTCAAAAGGCTGTGTAGGTTTAATAAGTAACTCATGTAAGCAAGTATGACAGTCTTTGCCACATCCCTCCAGGAAGAACCAGGATAACACATTCACTCATTATAGGATGAAGGGATACTGGCAAGGGGGAGAACCTGATCTACAAACTTCAACTCACTGTGGTCACAGTGCTGCAGTAAAAGTAAGACCAGTTGGTGGGTAAGGGACAGCTTTACAAAAAAACACACTTACTCTGTGCACTGACATGAGTCATCTCATATCACTTATTAGTGCAAATAACTTTAATTATTAAAAAGGATATTTCTAAGGTCAATGATAAACTTACTTACCAATTACTTGCAGAAATTCTGTGTTACTGATTTGTGAGTCGCTGATGCTAAAGGTTTCCTCTTGCCTTACCTCTCCCAGCAAAAATCCTTCCTAAAAGTAACAAAAGAAAATAGTTGTAGACTAAATATAATTTTTTCTAAAATTAAGAAGATTGAGGACAATGATTTTATTTTTCTAAGAGCAGATATTAATGGTATAAAGGGGTTTCATTGTGATAGTTACAATATGCATGTAATGTACTAATTTTCCCCCATCTGTATTACTCCTTCTCAACTACCCTTCCTCTTTCACCCTGAGGATGCATTATTTTATAATTTTAACAATAATTCAAAAAAGCTTGGCATGTAAGCATATATTTTATAAACCAATAGTAGACTAAAGCAATCTGGACTATAGATATATTAATTGGATTGTTTGAAAAAAGGATCCCATAATAAAACTTTTTTTTTTTTTTTTGAGGTACTGGGGTTTGAACTCAGGGCCAACCACTCTGCCACTTGAGCCACTCTGCTAGCCCTAAAACATTATTTTTAATCCTGTAAAATCTTTACTGTTTTTAGGTGAACTCATTACCTAAATCCTACTAAGTGTCAGAAAAGCCCAGGGAGCAGAAATATCCCAGGGTTGTTTTCTTGAAATGGCATACAATTTATTTCATGTTTTTAAAACCCTGCTAATGATGAAATGGTAAAGAAGTTAGCACAATGACAATTAAGTACTCTTGGATAGCTGGCATAAGAAATTAGGATTTCAGCAAATACATTTCGTACCATTCACATGAAAATTTTTCATAAATTCAAAAGTTAATTTATAACTTTGGAGACTATCACCAAACCAATCTGGATTACTTCGAAGATTATCTACTGTTTGAATGCTGCTGCCCAAGCACAGCTGCAGAAGATAAACCCTAAACATCAAAATAACTTTCCTGCAGAGAGGATGAATTGATAACGTGCCTCAGAAGCTCTCGCCAGATAGGTGCATGGCTCACTCCTTCTCTTCATGCAGATCTTTACTCAAATGGCACCTCACCAGAGAGGCTTTGTCAGACCAACGTAAGGGAAGTCACATCTGCCAGGCACTCTGTCCCCTTTACCATGCCTTCTTTTCTTCTTAGTCTTCACACTATTTGCTATTTTAGTTACAGAATGATTGAAGTAAATAAATGCCTACCCCCGGCTAAAATGTGAACTCCACAAGAGCAGGTGGTTTGTGCTTGCTTATTGCTGTACCTTTACACCTAGCATAGTGCCTAAACCTACTAGATACTCAACAGTGGTTGAAACAATGTCCTTGTATTATACATTTTTCAATTTTAGGTTGATCCATCGAACCAGGCTTCCTACTTTAAAAGCATTTCCAGTTACAAGTGGGAATGTGTAGGGGTGAGAGGAGAAAGATGCTTTACAGTCTCACTTTTGTATTTGATTTGGGGAAGAGGAGTGTCCTAAAATCCCCAGTTACCACATTCAGAGCATTCCTCAAAGTCAAGTAACATATAGATTTCCTTTACAAAAACAATTTCAGACCCAAATAAGAGTTCATGACTGTAAGTTTGAAAAATACTGATGAAACAAACTTGTTTTACCCCATGAAAGTCTTTAAAGTATATGTTCTCAATATAAAAGAAGCTTTGTCTTATAATACACAAAAATAAAACTTTAATCAAAATTTGAAAAATTAATATTCCCAGAGAACTTTATATTCTTAAGAATATGGTCATGGATTCCTAGCGTTCTATAGCTGAGGGTTCCCAGAATTAGCAAAAAAGATACAGCATCCAGTTAAATATGAATTTCAGATAAATACATTCTAGTATAAATGTTCTAAATATTGCATAAAAATTATGTTTCCCTGAAATCCAAATTTAACTCAGTGTTCTGTATTTTTCTAGTAGTCGTAACAGTCCTCAGTGTGAAAAACAGCAATATGAACCAACAGTAACATCAAAACACTGTGAAGCATGGACATGTACCCATTGGTCTGCACACCTAAGTCACTGTCACTCCATGGCAAAAGGCAAACTATACTGTCAGGCTCAATCCAAATCCAGAATAATGCCTGCTAAGGGACAGCCTGGAACATAAGTACAGTTTCTACATTTTTAAATGGCTGGAAATAATAAAAATAGGAATATTTCATAGGCTGTTAAAATTACATGAAATTCAAATTTCAGAGTCTATAAATGAACTTTTATTAGAACAGTCATTGTCATCCATTGTCTACAGTTGTTTTCTCCATACAACACCAGTTGAACGGTTGCTACAGAGACCATATGGCTCCCAAATCTTAAAAAAAAAAAAAATTGACTGTCTTTTACTATCTGGCCCTTTGCAGAAAATGTTTGCTAACCTTAGCTCTATAGAATAATGTCTGGGTTTAAATTCATTTCTTGCCTGGACAAAACATGCACTACAAACGTAAATTCTTGGTTCTTCCGCTTTAAGACTGAAATTACTTTCAAGCATCCCACATCCATAATTGTGGCAAGGTTAACATAAATAGGCATGGTCATCTAAAACACAGTTGCAAACAATTGTCATTGGTGAAACTTTCCATCAAGATATTAAGGGGATAGCTCTTAAGATAATAATAATCTAAGTAATATGGCCATCTCCCCACAGTTTGTAGAAAAACTATTTTTCAACAGGTAGCTTCTTGTTCTTAAAATAATCCTGCCTAGGGCTGGTGGAGTGGCTCAAGTGGAAAGGTGCCTGCCTAGCAAGCCTGAGGCCCTGAGTTCAAACCCCAGTACCACCAAATAGTAGTAATAATTGTGCCTTAACCATAAACTATGATATTACTAGGTACTCTATGAGAGTAAAGAAGCCTCATTTGAACCCATATTTAATAATCCATGGACAGTAGGATTATCACAAATCACCTAAGTTATTTAATAGCTGACTGCAGTACGAAAGGCCAGTGTCCAGAGCTCCCTCTGAAAAAACTTGTACTGTATATATTCCTATCATTAATCTCTACCATCAACCTTGAAGAGATGAAAAGCATAATAACCATTCACTTTACTAGTGGAATTACCTCTCTGTGAATATTGTTATTAATGGAAGCTAAGACGGCTGACATCAAATGCAGTATCTCCTTCTGCAGTACAATTTTGCTTTGTAATGACAACCACAACCTCCCACACATTTAATGAATTAACTATTAACGTCCCTTTAAAATAGCCCCCTCTCCCAATTTGATGGGCATCCTGTAGAGATGCCCACCAAATTAAGTATCTACTTTAAGAGAGAAAAACAATCTCGTTTCACAAAGATTTTCCAACCACTGACATTAAAAAGCAGTTCGCGAACAGGTGCGGGTGGCTCACGCCTGTAATCCTAGCTACTAAGGAGGCAAAGATCAGGAGGATCGCGGTTTGAAGCCAGTCGGGGAAGGCAAATAGCTCGCGAGACCCTATCTCGAAAATACCTAACAACACAAGAAGGGCTGGTGGAGTGGCTCAAGGTGTAGGCCCTGAGTTCAAACGCCAGTACCGCAAAAATAATTAGAAAAAAGAAAAAGAAAAAGAAAAGGCAATTCGTAAAATACAGGCTCTGAAACAGACAGGCTTTGCTTCCCCTGGAAGCATTAACCATTAGCATTTCTAATCACTCCTACGTGGGCCTGTCACTTCCCCATTTCACTGCGACTAGTTCCGTGGTCTCAGAACATTCGCCTGGGAACTAAATATGCAACTTCAAGGAAATGCAGACAGACCCTACACCTCACACTCGTTTACATTCTCCATTTCCGTCGGGACGAAACACACACTCACACAACCGTGTCTACCAGGTAGGAGTAGTGACAGCGGTGGTTTCACTCATTGCACCCCACGACAACCTGTGAGGCCGGCGGGCGGGGCTCGGTGCTTCCGCACTAAAAGCTCTGCCCCTGGGCTCTTGCCGACCCCGGGTGCCCCTCGAACGTCTACAAGCCTGACTCTCAGGGAGGGGCGACCCCTGACACTGTAGGAAGCCGGGCGGGACAGGATTGTTAGACCTTGGGACAGCTGTCCCGGGACGGCCGGGAGGCGAAGGGCAGCAAGTGAGGGACCCATCGGGGACGAAGGGGCTCGCCGGGGGCGGGAGCCGCCTGGGTCACCAGCTCCTCGGGTCGGCCGGGGAGTCCAGGGCCGATCCGCCAGTGGTCCCGCGGTCCACCCGGGAGGACCACTTCAGGAGGAGGCTGAAGGCCCCCCCAAGCGGCAGCGGCAGGGGGCCCGGCACCTACGTGGTCAGCGTTGCTGTTGGCGCTGTGGAAACACACAGCGCTGAAGGTGTAGCCCGAAATGGAAGCCGCCATGATGCAAATCTCCAACTTTCCCATCATGCCCCGCGGAGGGCGCACAGCCTTCCGGCCGGCTCGCCGCTAAGCATCCTGGGAAATGGAGTCTGCAGCTGAGGGCTGGGGGGCTGCAGGAGGGAGGGAGGCAGACTGGTGGGGCTGTGCGCGGAGCGTCCAGGACCGAGTGCGGAGAAATGCAGGCTTTCAGATCAAAAAACCAGCAGGCACCCATGGCTCACTCTGTAATCCTAGCTACTTGGAGGCTGTAGGATTGTGGTTCAAGGCCAGGCCCGACAAATAGTTTGGATGGTCTTCCCCTCCCCCAGTCTCCAAAATAATCAGGGCAAAATGGACCGGAGGTGTGTCACCCCAGTCCCACCAAAGTCAACAGCAACAGCATTGTCGCCTCTGTAAGAGTCTAGCGCTTGACAGGCCTCATATTCCACAGTTGACCCTTTTGCAAATGAAACTTTTAGTATTAAAAACCAACATTTGCAGATATGACGGATGAAAGGCGGGCGATAATTCAGGCAATTCGAGAATGACATGAGGTGACTTCAACTTGAACAGAGCACAGCCTGCCTGGTTGAGACTAGTGCATAGAGGAGACAACAGAGGAAGGGGACTCACATTAATCCGGTGATGGCGGAATGGGGGTTAGAAGTAAAGGGTGGTGAGAAGTGATTGGATTCTAGGTTCAAAAGATTGCAAATTTAAGCCGGAGGTGGTGGCTGGCATTTGGAATCCCACCACTTGGGAGGTGGAGGCAGGAAGATAGCAAGTTCGAGGCCAGCCTAGGCTACATAGCCAGCCTCAGTCTGTAAACAAATAAATAAATAAAGTGCCAATTTAATGAAAAATCATGAAAGAAGATTAAAAGCAACAAATAGCTAAAATAAACTATCAAAGTTAGAAAAAAAGAAACCTACTAACATTATTAATCATTATATTTCAATTTGTTGAGTCATGTTCAAAACTGGGCTCTTGGTTTCCAGCAAAGCTCCTTCTCTTACACCCTTTTCAAGCTCAGCAAATCGAACTGTTTTCTGACGGTTACACAAGTCAAAAACCTTAGAGTCAGTCTTTCTCTCACACCACACCTTTGATCAGCTAGCAGTGTTCAAAATATATCCAGAGTCCTACAGTTCACCTCCAGCATACCTGCCACCTAGTTCAAACCACCATTGTCTTGTCTCCTGGTTACTACAGTAATGTTCTATGTCAGGGAGCCCCAACAGGTGGCTGTTTTGTTCCTCAAGAGATGCTTGGCAATAGTTGAAGACATTTTCCGATGTCAAACTTAGGAAAGGCCTCATAACAAAGAACTGCCCCTTCCAAAATGTCAGTGGTGATGGGGCTGCTTTTGCCTTTAACCCTCTCTGCCAAGTAGTAGCCAAAATGGTCATGTCAACATTTTAATGTAAAATGTAAATCATGCTGCTTCTTGGCCACACCCCAACCTGACCCTTATTCTACTTCTGACTTCATTTTCTGCTACTGCCCCCTTTGTTTACTTTTTTTTATTTTTTTCATTTTTCTTTTATTATTCATATGTGCATACAAGGCTTGGTTCATTTCTCCCCCCTGCCCCCACCCCCTCCCTTACCACCCACTCTGCCCCCTCCCTCTCCCCCCTACCGCCTCAATACCCAGCAGAAATTATTTTGCCCTTATTTCTAATTTTGTTGTAGAGAGAGTATAAGCAATAATAGGAAGGAACAAGGGTTTTTGCTGGTTGAGATAAGGATAGCTATACAGGGAGTTGACTCACATTGATTTCCTGTGCGTGGGTGTTACCTTCTAGGTTAATTCTTTTTGATCTAACCTTTTCTCTAGTACCTGTTCCCCTTTTCCTATTGGCCTCAGTTGCTTTAAGGTATCTGCTTTAGTTTCTCTGCGTTAAGGGCAACAAATGCTAGCTAGTTTTTTAGGTGTCTTACCTATCCTCACCCCTCCCTTGTGTGCTCTCGCTTTTATCATGTGCTCATAGTCCAATCCCCTTGTTGCGTTTGCCCTTGATCTAATGTCCACATATGAGGGAGAACATATGATTTGTGGTCTTTTGGGCCAGGCTAACCTCACTCAGAATGATGTTCTCCAATTCCATCCATTTACCAGCGAATGATATAACATTTCGTTCTTCTTCATGGCTGCATAGAATTCCATTGTGTATGGATACCACATTTTCTTAATCCATTCGTCAGTGGTGGGGCATCTTGGCTGTTTCCATAACTTGGCTATTGTGAATAGTGCCGCAATAAACATGGGTGTGCAGGTGCCTCTGGAGTAACCTGTGTCACAGTCTTTTGGGTATATCCCCAAGAGTGGTATTACTGGATCAAATGGTAGATCCATGTCTAGCTTTTTAAGTAGCCTCCAAATTTTTTTCCAGAGTGGTTGTACTAGTCTACATTCCCACCAACAGTGTAAGAGGGTTCCTTTTTCCCCGCATCCTCGCCAACACCTGTTGTTGGTGGTGTTGCTGATGATGGCTGTTCTAACAGGGGTGAGGTGGAATCTTAGTGTAGTTTTAATTTGCATTTCCTTAATGGCTAGCGATGGTGAGCATTTTTTCATGTGTTTTTTGGCCATTTGAATTTCTTCTTCTGAGAAAGTTCTGTTTAGTTCACTTGCCCATTTCTTTATTGGTTCATTAGTTTTGGGAGAATTTAGTTTTTTAAGATCCCTATATATTCTGGCTATCAGTCCTTTGTCTGATGTATAGTTGGCAAATATTTTCTCCCACTCTGTGGGTGTTCTCTTCAGTTTAGAGACCATTTCTTTTGATGAACAGAAGCTTTTTAGTTTTATGAGGTCCCATTTATCTATGCTATCTCTTAGTTGCTGTGCTGCTGGGGTTTCGTTGAGAAAGTTCTTACCTATACCTACTAACTCCAGAGTATTTCCTACTCTTTCCTGTATCAACTTAAGAGTTTGGGGTCCCCTTTGTTTACTTAGCTTCAGCTACACTCCTCTCTTTTCTGCTTTTTGAATATCCCTAGCTCTTAGAGTCTTTGCACTTGCTGTTTCCTTTCCCTGGAATACTGGTCTGCTGGATAGCTACATGACTCACTCTTTTATGTTTGCCCTAGATGCTTTGATGGACCACCCAGACCTCCTCTTGCAGGAAGGATTCACTTATTATCTTGATTGCTGGGGAGGTTGTCTTCTGACAGCTCTCAGCTTTCAGTTTTCAGCTCTCTCCTGGAGTTGTCCCTGATGGAACAGTATGTCATCGCCCAAGGTCATCCTCCCATCCTGGGTGAACAACATTCAATGCCTGGTCAGTGTGGCTCCTTTACTCCAACTTGGGACAAATCCAAAAGACTTTCTAGCTTCTGAGTGCCCACAGTCCATGAGGAGAGGGGTTTGCTAGAGCTCCATGGTGAGGGTATCCCAGCCCAACTACTTCCTCCAGCCAATGCTGCTTCTTTTCCCTCACAGCAGATGTTGATCCTGGGAGCACTCCCTGATCAACTTCTTCCATATTCATCTCAGTCTCAGACTCAGCCTCTGCTTCTCTGGTATACAACCTTTGACAACCTTGGTTAGGTTTTCACTCAGTGCCACGCCTCACAGTGTCCTTCTCTGGTCACTGGAACGAGGATGACAATGCTTACTCCATCTTTCTTAATATTTCTTCCCCGATTTACTTTTCCCTTTACCACATCACTATCAAGAGCATCATTTCTGTTTTATTCATTTATACTGTCTATTGTCTTTTCCCCTCCTCCAACCTCTTCTGAACTTCATGAACATGAGGATTTGTGTTTGATTTGCTTACCATTGCATCTCATCAGATGGAAGAACGCCAATACATAACTGGTGGTCAAATGTTGCATGAAAAAGTGAGAGGGTCCCAGGAAAGATGGTTTTGTTCCATCGGCAGGTGGCTGTGGGGGGATGGAGACAAAAGAAGGCTTGCTAATAAGGAGGGGTCTTGGCTACGCAATCAGGAAACAATTTGGGATACAGGAGATGAAAGAGGAAAGAGAGCCAGATGTACTGGCAGAGTTATGGGAAGGGAGAAAGAAAGTAGGGAGAGAAGGTGAGTAGCTGCAGTGAGATTCTGGATTGTGGGAAAGAGAGACAAGGATGAAGGATGTTTAGGATCTAGTAATGTGTGTTGTGTGATGTAATCTCTCTTAACTGCCTTCCTCATGAAAACCTTCAGCAAAACATTTAGAATAGCCAGGTACCAGTGGCTCACGCCTATAATCCTAGCAACTCAAGAGGATTGAGGTTCGAAGGCAACCCAGGCAAACAGTTTGAGAGACCCTATCTCGAAAATACCCATCACAAAAAGGGCAGGTGGAGTGGCTCAAGGTGTAGACGCTGAGTTCAAACCCCAGTACTGAAAAAAACAAACAAACAAACCTCAAAAACATCTATGAGTCTGAGATTGAGGCTGTATGTCGTGGTTTCACTTGGAGTCTTTAGGATAGACTTCGTGGGCTCCAGTCTTAGCTCTAGCACTTACTGTGCAACCTTGGACAACTCTGTGGATTGACAACTGTGAAAGCTCAGGTAGCTATCTATAGGTGTATCTGAGAAAATATACTGGATGTGGTTACCCAGTTCCTGGCACACAGTACAGCCTAATGATTGTTATTCTTATTATGAAGTAGTTTAAAAAATAAGCGATCAATCTATAGGCATTGACAAGAACAAGGATATCATTACAGCACCGCGGTTAAGTGAAGATGCAAGAGGCTGGGTTGGTGGTGCATGTCTGTAATCCTACTTGGGAGACAAGGCAGGAGGATCCTGAGTTCAAGATCAACTTTCCCTGGGCAGAGTTATCAGGACCCTATCTCATAGCCAAAATACAAAAACCAAAGGACTTGGTGAATGACTCAAAAGGTAGAAAGTTTGTTTAGCAAATAAGAGGTCCTGAGTTTAAAAAAAAAAAAAGCAAGTTGCAAATACTGCAAATGGTCAGATTCCACCTATACATATAAAAAAAAAAAAAAAGAAAGAAAGCAATGTAGCCAGGCACCAGTGGCTCAGGCTTGTAATCCTAGCTACTCAGGAGGTGGAGATCAGGATGATCGAAGTTTGAAACCAGCCTAGGCAAATAGTTCTTGAGACCCTATCTCAAGGTAAAGGCCCTGAGTTCAAGCCTCAGCACTGCAAAAAAAAAAAAAAGCAATGTGTTTCCATATGCATATATGCATGGGAATGACACACTCTGCTAGGATGAATCTGAAAGTGGGAACAAGTCTAGTTTCATTTGGATTATGCCCCATATTGCAGCTCAGGAAAGCAAGATTTAAGAGGTTTAAGTTAAGTAACTTGCCTAAGGTCATTCCTGGACAGAAGTAAGCTGCGATTGATGTTCAAGCCTGCTAGATGCCATAGTCTGTGATCAGGCAGGAAAATGCAAAGGAAAAGAATGAGTAGTGTCAGGTGCTGAAGGAGAGGGTAGCTGGCTGAGTCTTGAGGATCTATTTGGAGAAAGAGAGGGTAGCCAGGCAGAGATGGGGCCTGCTGAAGGACCTGGTGCTGAATGGCTCATGGAGGTTTATTGGGTAGCTGCTGCAATGGCCTCAGCGAGCAGTGAGCTGTGAGTGTGAGTGGTAGGGAAGTGGTGACTGGGAAATGCCTGAGCCCAGAGACCAAAAGGAGACTGTGAGGGAGCGAAGGACAGGGATGATGCCCCACTTTGGGTGACGGTATAGAGGGTCAGGGACAAATGGAATGCAGAACAGGTAAGAGAGGCTTTGGAGGCATGGGAGAGCCATGCACTTGAATTCAGTTTCATCCATTTTACTGTAACAAGGGACATCCAGAGAATGGCAAGAAAAATACGAAGCTTGGTCAAGATGTTAGAATAACTACAGGCCAAGAATCCTTTACTGGAAATGCTTGGAACCAGAAGTATTTCAGAATTTGGATTTTTTGGATTTTGGAATATTTGCACAGAATTTACTAGTTGAGGCTCCCTAATCCCCAAATTTGAAACCTGAAATGTTTCAAACTCTGAAAATTTTTGAGTGTGAAACTTTGGATTTTGGAGCATTTTGGATTTTGGATTTTTGGATTAGGATAGGCAACCTGTAAGAAGAATGATCGCTAATATTTCCTGAGCCCTGACAATATGTCAGCTCCTATGCTAACCTCTTTACATGTACACTGAATTAATCTAGTTACTCTTCCTGACAACTCTCAGAAGTAGACTCATTTTAAATTCTATTTTACAATTGAATTCTATTTTACGATTGAAGTAACTGAGCTCATATTTACTGAGCATTTGCCATGTTCCAGGGAGGTAGGAGTTTGACTAGACTGATGTAATTTATTCTCTACAATGCTCCCATGTGACAGGTATTACTATTATCCTTGTAATAAGAATGGGTAAACTGAGGCCCTAGGAAGTAAAAGAATTTGCCCATGGTCACAGACCATGAGGTCAGGACTCAAAACTAGGGGTCCAACTCCAGAGCCAGGTGCCCAGTGGCCATTTTTGAAGACTCATGTCAGAGCAGGAGGTGGTGAGAAAATAAAGAGGGGTTTTCAGGAAGGGTGTTCAAGGGCTGGTGGAGTGGTAAGAGTACCTGCCCAGCAAGCATGAGGCCCTGAGTTCAAACCTCAGTGCCACAAAAAACAAAACAAACAAAAAAGAAATGTGTGTAACAGTGCTGACTGCTACAGAGTCAAGGAAGGTAAGCCCTGCACTTAACCCTCAGGTTTGCCAATTGGGAAGTGCTTGAGAACTCTTGGGAGTGTGGTTTCAGAGGCATTATGGATGAATAGGTGCCAGTCCACAGGGATCAGAAAGCTGAGACAGGCATGCCTGTCTCGTAACTGCCTCATGTAACTGGTACCTGGTGGGAGGGACTGTGTTCCTTGGCATATTCTGCTTCCCTGGTGACAGGCTGTTCACTTGATGGAGGTTCTCTTCTCCCTACCAAGAATTTGGTTGCCCTGGTGATCAGAGGTGGTACCCCCAACAGCATTTTGAATTAAGCAGAGTAATCCTGCCTGGAGTCAGGAAAGGAACTTTGTATAAACCACCAGTTTTTCCCAGGCTCCATACCAACAACTGTTTATAGCTTTCATCACACACAGCAGAAACATCTTAAGTGTTGACGTGACACCAGGCTGAAGATGGGCTTATCTTTCATGGTTACTTCTTAATTAGAACTTAAAAGTTTTTAAGACCCACTCAGTCACACTCAAGCTTGCATTTTCTGTCATCTAGAGTCTAGAAAAGATCAAAGCAACCATTCACCCAGGGCAGCACTAATTGGCTGTGGTATCCGGTGGTTTTATTGCTCTGTAATAAGGTTACTTACACTCTTTCTTGAGTTCTTTAATCACTATGCGCATGGATTCCCATCTGCCTTTTACTTTATTCTATCATCAGTGGTTGCCTGAAGAACTTGGAACACTTTGTATTGGAGGAGATGCACATTCGGTTCTAATCAGGATTTCTGTGAGCTAGAAGAGCTGGTGGTGATGCTGACTACCTTCAGGGACTTATTACTGGGCTTCTGTCTGCTGAGTCAACAAAAGTGTAACCTAGGAAACAACTTTTGGTTGGAAGGCAGCCTTGCTAGGGGCCTCTGAGATCCTTGCCTAGGACATTGAACTATGCGTATTTCATTACTGCTACAGAAAATACCCTAGACCTTTGACCTATAAGGCAGTCAGACAAAGAGAAAGATGTCATCTCAGGTTCACAGGTTGATGAGTTTTTTAGAACAAGTCACCATTTATTTATTTGGAGCATGGTACAGTGACCAAAGTGGAACATGCAGAGGTTGAGACTTGGATAAGGCCAGGTGCCTGGCTCAGGGTAGAGCTGAGTCCTACCGAGGCATCCTATCATTGTGATACTCTTTTTGTTACACCTGAGGCTGGTGTATTGTGGGGTGCTGTGTGTATGCGTGTATGTGTGTGTGTGTGTGTGTGTGTGTGTGTGTGTGTGTAGGGGGTAGGGACATTCATTTCCCTGGGCCTAAACTCCCATGTCTGCCGGTGACATCAAGTCTGAAGAGCTCAAGCCAGAATATCAGTCACACATGGAATTAGTTGGGAAGCCACTAATGCGAACGACTGTCCCACTCACTTCCAGATCTGCCCACGACATAGTGAGATGAGGTGACTTGTGTATTAATTGGGCTGAGCAGTTGTCGGCTTTAGGTGATTCTGTGGTTTCTGCCAGCCGTTATCCAAATTGCAATCCTCTGAACTGTCACTTACAAATGTCAGTGTCCAAATATGGTTGCGCTAAGACCTAAACGATGGGGTTGCCGCTGACGTTAGCTGGAGGGTGCAGGCTGGAGGCGAGGCTCTCCCGGCCAACGCCTGCACTGCGCACCCGGCAGAAGCTCAGCAGCCCCGCCCTCGCCACGCCCCTCGCCACGCCCCTCGCCACGCCCACCGCCGACTCCCGGCGGCGTCTGGAGCAGTAGAGACGGCCGTCTTCCGCCGCCTAGAGCTGCCAGGCCTTCGCGTCCGCTCTGTCCGCGCTTCATCTCTATGGTGGCCCCAACGGCCGGTCTGGGCGCGGAGCGAGATGAGCGCGGGTGCTGACGCCGGCAGTGGCGCTGTAGCCGCGGAGTGGTCGCGACAAGGGAGTCCCGCGAAGGATGGCTTCGTCCCTTCGGTGCTGGGGACCCGAGAGCAGTAAGTGTGGCCCAGGAGTGGGGACGGTGAGCGGCGCTACCCGGGACAGGGAAGGGGATGGTGGAGTGGGACCCCGGGCGTCTCGGGGGATGGGGGATCCTAGGGAGCGTGGCGGGAGGGAGGCTGTAGGGCCTCCTTGGAGGTTAAGGGGTTTGATGAAAGGGAGGAATTCGCAGGAGCCGCCTTGGGCGCGGTACCCCGTTTTCAAGGGGCTTTTGGGGTGCGGGACGGACTCTGAAACTCTTGAACCTAAAAGGGCCTGGGGGCCAAGGGTAAGAGGCCGAGGGAGAGCTCTGGGGCCTGGGAGCTGGAAGGCTTGGGGGGAGGAGAACGACCCCAGTTGGAATCGAGCAACAGAAAGTGACCTGACCTAAAATGGATGCTCAGTAATTAATGAATTAATAGACGGACAAATGAATGTGGGGAATGATTAGGATTAGGGGTAACTTGGAGGGACGAGAGGGAGCTGGGAGTCTAGAGAGGTGAAATAGGAAGAGAAAGCAAATAAAGGGAGTGGGGGAATACTGTGCTTAAAACGAAGAAGAGAAAATTTAAGCTAAGGGCTAGAATATAGGGAGACTGCCCAGTAAGGGAACTAGCTTAGTGCTGAAATCTTCAACTTTACTATTCTTATTTTCTGTTGTGGTACTGGGTTTTGGACTCTGCCACTTGAGCGATACTTCCAACCTTTGGTTTTTGTTTTTGAGATACAGTCTTGGAAACTTTACTGGGTCTGGTCTCCAACTAGTGGCTCTCATGCCTCCATCTCCCAAGTAGCCGGGGTTACAGGCGTCCCGTCGTCGTCATGTACGTGTGTCATGCTTTCCCCCCCTCCCCCATTTTAAGCTTAACTTTTAGGTCAATTTGGTGCAGTAATAACTTAATGCTTGTACAGTAAAGTGGTAGACTTGGGTCTGGGACTTAGAAATCCCAGGACAATTGTCTCTTTATTTTTTAAGCTAAAATTTATATAGCATTTATTATGCATCTGATTCAAAGTACTTTAAACATCTAGAGATGTAGAAAACTTACTCTGCTTGTCCATACTTTTCATTCTTTTAACCCAGTGCTGTTGAGAAATTCAACTATGTGCACTTACTGATAATGCTAATAATATTTTAAACCTGTCTTGTAACATATCGGAAGCATCCATTTAATTCACAATACAGTCTAGTTCTAGAATCTCACTTTGTATTTTCATTGTTTACATAGTTGGGATGCTGTCTATGAGAGAGAGCTGCAGGCTTTCCAAGAATATGGAGATACAGGAGAGATCTGGTGAGTTGGGGAAAAAAAGATCAGTTATGATCCAGAAGATTGTATATGTAGGGGTGTGTGTACGCTTATACCAAAGAAAGCCTAAGACTCTGGAACCCTGAGTTGAGTGTGGCTTAAATTGGTAGATTTAAAGTATCTCTTTTCTTTTTCAGTGACCCAGATTTCAGCTGACCAGAGTATTAGGAAATTGCTTTCATTCTGTAGTTGTCATTTTTCAATAAGAAAGAAATAAAATTTTAAATCATCAACATGTACTCATATCTCAGACAGCAGGTGTCAGAACATTTTCATGAGTTAATGCTGATATAGAGAACTATTAATAAATAGTATAGTGACCTTGTCTATTCTGTACACCCCGCCTTTGGTGGGACCGGGGTTTGAACTCATGCAGGCACGCTACTGCGGGAGCCACACCTGCAGTCCATTTTGCTGTGGTTATTTTGGAGATGGGGTTTTGAGAACTGTTTGCCTGGTCTGGCATTAAACTGCAGTCCTCCTACTCTCAGCCTCCCAAGAAGCTAGGATTACAGGCATGCCCAGCTTGTTCTGTTCTTACACAGTCACAAATACTACTACTTACTTTCAAAAAAGACCTAATAGGGCATATGGTATAAACAACTTAAGTGCAGTATAGTTGTATTTCGCTCTTTTCTGTTATTTGTAATAAATTCTGTTTCTAACAGGTTTGGGGAAGAGAGTATGAAACGACTAGTAAGATGGATGCACAAACACAAGATTCCATTGGATGCCTCTGTGCTTGATATTGGAACCGGAAATGGCGTTTTCCTGGTTGAACTTGTTGGTACTTTTAGTATTCATGTGTTTGAGCCAAATTTTGAAATGAAAGTTTTAAAAAGTCTTGGAATTGAGGGTATTAACCATCTAAATATAAAGAGTTAAGGTCGTCATTCCACTTTCAGTAGTAACATGATAGGACAGGAGACTGCATGGATTGTGATAAAGGACTAAGTGTGTGGTGCCCACCACTCCTGAATACTGCAGTCTTGAATGCCAAAATCCTAGGTGAAGTTTAAAATCCCTAAAGAATAAAATCCTGAAAACCATAATCCTGAAAGATTAAAATCCTGAATGTTGAAATTATGGAAGCCCAAGTCCTGAAAACTGCAATTCCCGTTGGAAGAAAAAGGTTGTATAAAGGGTAGACAACTGAATTTTGGGGAAGAGATTAGTACATTTTCAGTTGTATGTGTCATAGTTGTATCCTGTTAGGTGTAATGAATACCAAGAAACCCGGTTAAGCGTTACACCTGTTACGTGTGTCTGTGAGGTTGTTTCCAGAGGAGGTTAACGTCAGTCTAGATGGAGTATGTGGGAATGTCCAATGTGAGTGGACCCCATTTAGTAGGATGGAGGAGTATAGAAAACAAATTGAGAAGGTAAATTGTCCCTCTCTGAAAGTTAGGACAGAGTCCTTCTCTCCTCCCTCTCTTTTTTTGAGACCTGGTCTCTATGTAGCCTAGGCTGGCCTGGAATTTGGTTTGTAGCTCAGGACACCCTCAGATTCTTTATCCTCCTGCTTTCAGCTCCCAAGCCTTGAGATTATAGGTGTGTGCCACCATGTCTGGCTGTAGGGTAGAGTTTTCTTCTGCTGTCTTGGACATCAGAACTCTGGCCTTTGGATTCCATGACTTAGACCCATCACCCCTGGGTCCTCAGGCCCTTGGACTGAGAGTTGTACCATTAGCTTCAGTGGTTCTGAGGCCTTTGGGTTTGTACTAAGCCATGCTATCAGCATCCCTGGTTCTCTAGCTTGTAGGTAGCTCGTTGTGGGATTTCTCAGCTATCATAGTTGTGTAAGTCATTTCCCCCAGTAAGTATTATATATCTCTATACATATCCTCTTGGTTTTGTTTCTGGAGAACTCAGTCTAATACAGATTCAGTATTGGGGAAGCAGACTATTATTCCTTCTTACTGTATTCCTCACATCACAATGGAAGAAATTTGCAAAATTGTTCCCTTGCAAAAAGGCTGTGATAACTTTTAAGTGTATTAGGCCATTTGATGGTGAAAAATGAAAATTAAAAAGCTATTTATTAGTGGTATGTGAAAATACAAAATCACTTAATTGCAAGACCAAGTAATAACCATGATTTCAAAAAGACTTACGTACTTAAAAAATTTGCAGAACAGAGTCTCCAAATAAAAGTGCAGTGAATGTCTCAAAGACCACAGAAGTGAAGTCACAGGTAAAAAATGCAAGAAAATCTTCCTTGCCCTTCATACATAGCACCATACTTAAAAAAAAAAAAAAATGCCCTTTCTCAGAAAAAAAATTGACAAGATCAGTGACCTTCTGAACCAAAGACACTGGAAGATAAGAGGTTCCTCCATTGTTACAAAGCATATTAAATGGTGGACTGTTATTACTGTTCTTGGTTAGGGGTTTGACTGTTGAAGAAGATAGATATATTTACTATGGAGTCTAACATGAACCAGTGCATGCCTCACTTTGCCTAATGGATGGCACTTTAATGACTGGAAAAAGGGAAGCACTTTTAAAAGCTTATTTGAAGATTTGGTGGACTTTGCAGAAGAAAATAGGTTTCAGTTGAATTACCAGACCATAATGACAGATTTGGAATTAGATATGATCAGGCATTCTAAAAGTAAATTTCAAGGTATGACCAATAAAGTTTGTCTTTTTCCACTCAGCCCAATGCAGTTGACAGAAAATTTGGGTGTGACTGGGTACATTTAGAGTGATGTGGCTGTAGACAGCAGAAAATTCAGATGAGTGTATTGGTCATACAGTAGTGTTTAAAACTTTAGTTTAAAACATGTCATTTGTCTGCATTAGCATTCCTTCCAGTTGATACAATCCCAGGAGCTTTTAATGAATTGAAGCCATGTTTGCTTGAGGAAGCCAGCAAAGTCACTGACTGGTTTGAGAATAATTTTGTGTACAAGCAGGGTAAGATATGCAATGGTCTTGCTGTTTGATCATCAGTACGGTTTCTGCCACATTTGTAGTCTGTATATGAGTGGAATTCTGTGTACCCCAAACAACCTAGAAGCATGGTGCTGAAGATGGGAAGTTTTAATAGAGAACAATCGTGTTGCTCTATATTGAGTCATAGAAGAATTTCAAAAGGAGCAGCACCATAGAAAATGAATGTTAATGTGTTCTCCAAGGGGGGCTGTGCCCTAAGAAAAAGCAGCTATTCATCTCAATGTAAGACTTCAAAATACAGTGAATATTTTGAAAGCTGGTCAGTACTTAGGGACTACCTCTGTGCAATTGTCCATAATATTGTAATATGTTTTTTTCATGAGTTGAATTTTCACGTTTATTTTTTTTTTTTTGTTTTTTTACCAGTATTTTAAATTGTCAGCATTTAATTTGCTGTGCTATGTATTTCATCTTTGGCATCATGTTTAATACCAGAGGTATAAATTACAGAAAGACTTTTAGAGAATTACAGTTTATTATTTTTGTGAATTTGTTTCTGCAGAAGTGCATTACCACAACCCTGACTTGGTGCGTTAAATGTTGGCTTCTATGTAAAAACATTGAGACCTCCTCAATAAATAAAGAGGTGTCTCTTTTGCTCATCTGCATTTATGAAAGATAAAATTTCCCTCCCTAGCTCGGCTCTTTGAGCAAGTGCAAGTGCGATTTTAGCTCATGACAGATTTTGATCTGTCTCCTCGAAAGACATAAGTTGTCTTTCAAGGTATTTCAGGTAACTGCAGTTAGAAAGCTGGGTGCACACGGTTACCAATCATAATAGTTGTGTTTATATATTTCACTTTTTTTTTCCTCTAGTGCTGGGGATTGAACCCAGGGTATAAAGCACCCAAGGCAGACGCTCTTACCGCTGAGCCTCATCCCAGCCCTACATTTTACTTTTTGACTTGTTTATTCCTCCCTGCCTTTCTCCTTTCCTTCCTTCCTCTTTTTGAGACTGGGTCTTGCTGAGTAGCCCAGATGGCCTCAAATTCACAACTGTCCTGCCTCCACTCCCTCAGTATGCAATCATGCCTGGCGACCTGTTTCTGTGTGGATATGTTTTGTCTGTTCGTAACTGTTAATACTTGTGCAGCTGTCCTTAATATACTTATGCTTTCAAAACATGTATATTATTGCCTAATTTTTTTGGATAAAGTGTCTATGAAGTGTTCTGTCATGTTTCTATGTTCCTCAGATCTTACAAAAATGTAAATAAATGTCTTTTTAATTCTTTTTTTTTGTGGTGCTGGTAATGGAACCTAGAGCCTAGTACTCTACCATAAGGTAGAGCCCCAAAATGAATCCTTTAAACAATTTCTAAAAATTAGTTTTCCAGTTACATTTCTGAGATTTTGACCTCTTAAGATTTTATACTTTAGGGATTTTGATTTTTTTGGATTTCAGCATTCAGGATTGTTGTTTGGGATTGTATCTTTTGGGATTATGGCCAAACCCTTAAGTGAGAAATTAGGGGAATCTGAGTCCTAGTATTGGTTTTTCTGGCTATGGTCTTGACCTTGAGTTAGTTTTTTTGGGCTTCAGTTTTTCCTAAGAAATCTATATGTATAAAAAGAGGATGGCTCTTTGCAATTTCAGTAGGGCGTATATACCTTATCTTAGGTGAGTATATGGTGTGAAAAGAAGCACTTAGTACATGGAACTGAGCTTATATTGATACAAGTTCTACTATTGGTTATACCATCACTGTGCCTGTAGTTTTCTCATTGCTATGGAGGAAGTATAAGATACAGGCTTCATCCTAGATGGTTTTACAGTCTGATGTGTAAGGATATAAACATAGGCATGAAATTGAGTGACTACCATGTGCTAAGCCTCATGCTAGACACTGGAAACATGAAAGTTTAGATCTTAGTTTCGATTGTTCCCAAAATAGCGGAGGATGGGCTGACATGTAGACAGTTAAGCTATAGCTTAGTGTGTGTGATAATGGATGTACTGAATAAAGGAGAGGAGGTGGTTAGTTTTGGAAAGGAGGGATGGGAAATGACCTTGGAGGAGTTAATATCCAAGTTGGGTGGAAATTGCAGGAGTGTGGGTGAAGTGTGAAGGGGGAGACAATTTCACCAATGAAACAGTGTCTAAAACACATGAAGGCTGAAGCAGCATATTATGTCTTGAGTCTGTAAATAATTGTTGAACTAGAACTTAAAGCATGTGTGAAGCATGAACAGAGTTGAGAAGTTAAAGGTAGCAGCTGTGTCAGATTTTGCCATGTTTAATAGTTCAGGTTTGTGACTTTAGGGGGAAAGGGAAATAAAACTATTAGCATGCTTAGAAAAATTTGTAATGGACTTTTTTGAAATATTGAGACATAGCTATGTACCTTAAAGTATAAGAATCAAAAATGTACAGTTTGATGAGTTTTTACAAAGTGAACATAGGCATGTAACAATCACCCTGGTCAAGAATGTTACAGAACTCTAGAATCTGGTCTTGAACTCCCTAACAATCATTGTTCCTTCTCTAAAAGTAACCACTGACCTCTAACCATTAGCCAAGTGAATGTTCACTTCATAGATTAAGTTGTTTGTTTTTGAATGTGTAAGTGAAACTCTTCAGTATTTACTCTTAGGTTGTTCACTCCATTTTCTGTGAGGTTCACTCACATTGTTTGTAGCCGAAGTTTATTCATTTTTCTTTGCTGCATTCCTGTATGGAGTTCCTTACAATTATACTAGTTTGATTTATTCATGTGTTATTTTTACCTGTAGATTCTTTGGTATTTTATTTATGTTTGTGGTACTGGAGAACAAACTCAGTGTCTTGCACATGGTAGGCAAGCGTGCTGCTGCTGAGCCAACTAT